GGTATTATAATACCCACTAATTATTATTCAATTATTTTCCTTGTTCAATGACCTATTTGCCCTTTGATTCTTTTGATAATTACTAATAACTTCCAGGAAATATTTCTAAATAAATCATTGAACTATTCAACTATTCTACTTTAATCACCAAATTCTAAAATTTTACAATTTAGTCACTAATCCGGTATTGAGGATGTTACATTCATCTTGATTAAAGCATGGAAAAACTATATAAACAATTAATCCTTCAAGTCCAAGTCTCAATCCAATTTAATCCATAAACCCTAAACTTTCTTTCATTAAATTCAAGAACTTAACCCAACCAATCCATGAAATTTTACTACCAAATGAAAGAAAATTCCATGAAGAACAATTTTTTATTTTACAACATAATCTTAAAATCAAGTCTTTAGGATCAAAATTGTTAAAAACCTAAATTATCTTATTTTTCTTTTTCTTCTACCTTGGTTCTGTCCACTTTGATGAAGAATGAAGAAAACTCTTCAACTTTCTTTTCTTTTATTATAGTTATTTTTGACTTTTCAAACTTTAATGAATTTAAAATTCATTTTAATCCAAATGACCATTTCACCCTTAAAATCCAATGCTCACCATTATGTAACATGCCAAGATCTTCATCCAAGGGCTAAGATTAACCCATTGAGTTAATAGTTACCAACTTTACCCTTGTAAAATTTCATATTTACAATGTCATTTTCATCTAACGGCTTAGATTTAACATGTAAATTAAACTTTAATCCAATGGTTCGTATTAAACCTTATCCTTTTAAAGCATGGAAATGATATTTTTCCCTTGCTCTACCATCTAACAAAATATCTCAAATTTTTAATTCAATCTGATTATCCAAATTTTTTTTCGAACTTTAACCCTTATAGCCTTTAACAAAAATTATGTATCAAAAGCCCGAGTAACACGAAAACATCATTCTTGGGGGGTTAAACTATTCCTTCATGGCATAAAATACCTATTTTGGGAAAATTACCATTTTGTTCCATGAACTTTCAATTTATTCATTTTGATCACTAACTAGAGGTTTGAGGTATTACAATTTGAATCCACACTATGGCACATAGATATTCAAATTCAACATATGGTACACAGTTTAAGAATTTGCTTCTAAATTGTTGGAAAATAGACTACTGCAAAAAGAGGCATTAACACTGACTGAAAAATATTAAATAAAACGTATAAGCAAAGAATTGATCAGTCTTGTCATGGTATTAACACTGTCTTAGAAGCGAATTCACCCCGATGTGTGTAATCGCTACAATGGATGAATTCCCCCTAAGGTTAGCACAACTCTCCAAGTTTCGAATACCCGAAAGATGGAGTGGACTTGGATGATACTACTCTTCTCTCAACTCAAAATAACACTTAAGAAAAAAATCAAAGATTGTTTCAAAGCAAATATTTACTTAGGGATCTGCTCATATGAATGAAACTACCCACTATTTTACCAGCTAAATAGTGAGGGTCAAATCGTCATTTCTAAAACACAATTTAAAGTTATTTAGAATATAATTAAATAGCATTTAAAATTATGTTATATTTTGAGAATTAACAACAATTACCTTTAAATTGTTATTTTACTTAGAGATCTTTAATTGCTGGACTTTTTAAATATAAATGATTAAATTGATTAAACTATCTTAAATTAAGACTAAATTAATAAAATAAATAAATTCTTAAGATTAAAATTATTATTATACCATACTACATCTTATTCATTTAAAGTTCAAAGATCAATGCTTGTTTAGAATAATATCTTAATCGCGAAATTAAATTATAACATTTTTCAAAAAAAATAACACATTTATAACTGAACAAATAGTTGACATGTGATGTATCTTATCCAATAATAAATTTATGGGTAAAATATAGTAACAGTCACTGAACATCTCTGAAGCTTGCATTTAGGTCCCTCAACTTTTAAAACTTGCAATACGGTCTCCCAACATTTATTCCGTTTGCAATATAGTCCCCGCACCTATGAAAATTAGGGTAAATTATATAAATGGTCACTAAACTTTTTAAGTACTTGAATTTAGGTCCCCCAACTTTTAAAACTTATAAAACAATCCTCAATTTCATTCTAAACCCTAAATTCCAAAATAATTCAATTACATTCTAAAACTCAAATTCTAAAATACTTCAATTTCTGTCTTTTTTTATAAACGACGCCGATGTCACTAAATTATTAATTAATTTACTTTTTATATTTAAAAACATATGAAATTTTTTTAATATTAATTTAAAGACATGAAAATTTTTTAATAGCAAGAATATATGATAATAATTCATTTATTTAAAAATAAATATATTTATGATTATTTGTGTATGTTTTTATATCTAATCATACGTGTTAATATATTTTATATATTTCATATAAATATTAAGACTAAATAAATAGCAGAGTCAAAATTTTATATATGAGTTATGTTAATTATAGTAATGATGTATAAATATATTTTTATTTTTATATTATTTCTATTATAATTAAAATATAAATATTACCATGATAATTAAATATTTATTTACTTATTACATCGAATATTTTTGTAGAAAAATTATTTAATAAAATCATAAAAAACACAATAAAAAATAAACACTGAAGTTTACTACTTCAAAAATAAAATAAAAAATCAATAATTTAATATAATATACCCTAAGTTGATGATAACAATCAACTCAAAAGAGATGGGGTTTGTGCCATGTTTTCGTAATGTACGTAAACTTTCTATTTCATGGTCACATATTCTTTTAGTTCTAGCACGATCTATTTTTTAATTTTCTAATACATTTAACAAAATTATATTATAACTCGTTAAGTGATTTCATAGGTAAAAGAAATGTTATTTTCTTTAAAAGTTTTAAATTCAAACAATTGTGTTTGTAGGGTATATCTATATTATTAATAAATTAAAAAAATTTGAATAAATACTATCTTATAATCACATCAAACTATTAAAAAACTAAATTATAATTGAAATAAATACAAATTATAAGGATGTCAATTGGGGATTTTGATTCTTAATTTTTTCATTGAGAGATTGTGTTTTTTTATTCAATTTATTCCATAATCATTTTTTATATTTAAATTATTGAAGGTCACTAAATTTATATTTATGAGGAGGGAGTGTATTTTTTTCTTCACAAAAGTAAAAAATCAAAACGCTATCACGTTCTTAAAGATAATATAATATATTCCTCCTTAAATTGAAATATTTTAGAATTTGGGTTTTAGAATATAATTGAATTATTTTGGAATTTAGGGTTTAGAATGAAATTGAATTATTTTGGAATTTGGGGTTTAGAATGAAATTGAGGAATGTTTTGTAAGTTTTAAAACTTAGGGGACCTAAATTCAAGTACCTGAAAAGTCCAGTGACCATTTATATAATTTATCCTAATTTTCATAGGTGCGGGACCATATTATAAATGGATTAAATGTTAGGAGATTGTATTGCAAATTTTAAAAGTTGATGGACCTAAATGCAAGCTTCAGAAATATTTAATGACCATTACTATACTTTACCCTAAATTTATTAGAACATTGCCGGCCTAAGCAACGCTTTTGTTAGGCTTTAAAGGCCAAATATGCTATAAAGTAATTTCAAAACTGAATTGCGCACCGACTAAAAAAATAAAGGGTAAACTACACCTCGCTGGTCACTAAATCATTGTCAATTTCATTTTGATAATTGAATATTTTTAGTTAAATAGTCACTGATGCGCGTTATTTTTTTAATAACCAATCACATGTCAATTACACTCGAATTGCGTTTATAGATATTTTTTTACGTCGTTCGAGTTTGATTTGCGGTTTGTTAATGGTCTTCAATAACTTGACCCCTTTTTATGATTCATTTGTCGATACGATCAGATCTATTTGTATCTATTTGTGTTCGAGTTTCTTGGTTAGATTTAGTTTTTCCTTGTATGGTCCTTATGTGATCTTAAGTTAATAGTTTTGTTTCAATAATTATAGAAAGTTTTCTTAATTATGTGCTTAATTTACGAATGTGGTTGTAAATATTTATTATAATTTGAGATATTTCCTATTTTAAATAAAATTAGTTGAATCATGTTAAAATAAAATAAAATAAAAATCAAATGTTGTTTTTATGGAGGGTTGAACCATGTTAAACTGTTATTATAATTTTACTAAAATTAATATTTTGTTTGAACTCTACCAACATCTCATTTTTATAACTTTAATAAGACAATATGATTTAACCTAAATATATTATTTTTATAGAATTACAATAATTGTTTAATCTGGTTCAATAATTAAATGATAGACCTTTATTGAAGGGTCTGAATTCAATTCTTCTCAACATTATGTATTTATTTTATTTGATTGTCACCCCTTTATTGACAAATATTATTAAAAACAAAACACAGACTGTTATGTAGAGAGAGTAAAAATAACGTGAAAAATAAAAGTATAAATATAACTTGATGGCTAATGTTGTAAATAAACCAAAAATAAACAATAAAACTCTAAACTGCCTAGTCGTTTTAACGCCTTTTTTTTCTATTAAAAGAGAAGAGGGGCGGCTCGAAGATAAAGCAACGCGGGAAAAAAATCTTTGGAGAGATTTGTTGTCTCGATTATCTGGATTTTCTTTGCATGTGGTTTCCATCTCCCTCGTTCTTCTTTCCGGTAAGATCTTCAATTACCTCTGATTCAATTGAGGTCAGATCAGATCCGCCAAAAGAAGCACGGAAATTTCATGTTCTAGGGTTTTCGATCTGATTGTTGCCGTTTATTTCGTTTGGTTCTGTTTCGCTTTGATTGTCGTCATATCTGAAACCTAGGTTGTAATCTTTTTTTGCTCTTTCTATTGATTGAATCTTTAAAAGTTGTCTGCATATCTAGGGTTTGTACTTTGCAACCCTTGAAGTGATTGGCTATTTCTTTTGCTATTTTTCTTGGAGTTTTTGTTTGGTGTCTTTTTTATTGAGAATAGTTGTGTGGTTCTTGATTGGTATGGCGGCAGGGCGAGTTGATGTTCGGAGGAGAATTGATGTTGAGAAAGTGAATCGGGAATATGGCCATACTAATCCCGTTAAGAATGTATGCAACTACCCACCTAATAGTAAGAATTCGGCTTCTTTTCATAAGAGTAAGTTGGGTTTGGGTCCTAAGCGATGTGGGTTAGACAATGTTGCAAGAGTTAAAAATGATGTCAGGTCGATGTTGGATAATGAGGCTAAGCAGCCGCCTCAGAAAAAACGGAAGTTTTCTCCAATTGTGTGGGACCTAGAAAATAAGGAACTAAGTTCTTCATCCAAGACCAGAGTTATAGCGACAACTACCTCTCTGTCATCTCCACCTTCACCTGTGAAGTTGTCAAATAGTGACTCCAATCAGGTTGATAAACAGCCACCCGTCTCTGCAGATCTTATCAAAGAAGAGCGTTCACCGCCTGAGTCTCTAGTGTCAAATTCCGGTGCTGCTTTATCTCCTTCACCATCTGGCCAGGGATGTCAGGATGATGAACAAGAAAAAGATTTGATGGGTAAAGATAGCTTTCAAACGCCCAACCTATTTACGTCACGATGGGCTTCAGATGATGATGACGAAGATGGATCTCTAACCGAGGAAAAGATAAGGAGTTCAAGTCTTGAGAGTGGGGAGTTTGAAAGAGAGGAACTGGAAGGTGATGGGGTACAGTCTGATGAAAGAAGCAACAATGTACTGTATGCTTGCAAGGGTGAAGATAAGGGGTGTAAGTTGGACTCTGGTTATGTTATGGATATTGATGACATTCGTGAAGAAGATGCTATTGCTGATCAATCAGATTTAGATGTTGAAGAGTCTGCAGGAAGTGGGATGAACATGCTTCTTGGTTGCAGAAGTGTTTTTGAATATGAAAGATTGAACAAAATAAGTGAAGGTACTTATGGTATTGTTTATAGAGCCAAGGATAAGAAGACTGGAGAAATTGTGGCTCTAAAGAAGGAAAAAATTCTTGGCGGGAGAGACTTAGAAGAATATGGTTTCCCAGTGACATCTCTGAGAGAAATCAATATTCTTGCATCTTTTCTTCACCCTTCGATTGTGAAAGTTAAAGAAGTCGTTGTAGATGACCATGACAGTGTTTACATGGTTATGGAATACATGGAACATGACCTCAAGTGGCTAATGGACTCAATGAAGCGACAATTCAGTACAAGTGATGTTAAAAGCTTGATGCTACAACTACTGGAGGGTGTGAAATATCTTCATGATAATTGGGTGCTACATAGGGATTTGAAGACATCCAATCTTCTCTTGAATAACCAAGGTGAACTCAAAATATGCGACTTTGGTATGGCACGACTGTATGGGAGCCCACTTAAGCCATATACGACCAAGGTGGTTACCCAGTGGTATAGGTAAGTTGCTTTCTAAGTACTTATATTCTCTTAACATTCTGAATTTTATGTGCTTTTGAATTTGAAAGCACCTTCCTTTGATTTCTGCCCTTCAGAGCTCCTGAACTTTTACTTGGAGCAAAGAAGTATTCAACAGCTGTGGACATGTGGTCTGTTGGTTGTATAATGGCTGAATTGTTAACTAAGGAGCCCGTGTTCAAGGGAACAAATGAAATTGATCAGCTTCGTAAGGTAATTACTGTTTCTATTTGAAATTTCTACTTTATCTTATTATTATTTTATTTATGATGTTTGGTTGTGAATCATGGACGATGATTGCAGATATTTGATACTCTTGGTGTTCCAAATGAGAAGATTTGGCCTGGGTTTTCTGAATTACCAGGGGCCAAAGCAAATTATTCTAAGCAACTGTAAGTATTTTTTGACAATTAATATGTTCATCTGATTGACCATACTATTATTTTGATTTTATGTTTACTAAATTCCTAGTCATGTGACTTGTAATTTAACAAGTAGTTGCTTTTGTTTTCTTGTACCAGGTATAATTTGTTGCGGAAAAAGTTCCCTGTAGCATCTTTTACAGGATCTGCCGTTCTTTCTGATGCTGGATTCGACCTGTTAAACAGGCTTCTTACATATGATCCTGAGAAGGTAATTATACTCGAGTTCTAAATCCAACTTTTAGTATACATGTAGGTTACTTCAGCTATAATTGAAGTTTCTGTTATTTATGCAGAGAATAACAGCAGATGATGCTCTCAATCATGATTGGTTCCGGGAGATTCCTCTACCTAAATCTAAAGAATTCTTCCCCACTTTCCCACCAAAAGTGTGAATGGAGCAATTTCCTGGCCTGATTGGTGAAGAAGTTGGACACAATCAAAATATATATGGAGCTATGCTTTAAGGATCCATATCTGATATATCAGTGGTAATTTTTTTCGTCTATTGGATTGTTTCATGATACAGACAATTAGGTGCATTCAGCCACTAGGTTATCATCAATGATAGTTGTATTAGGTAGATGATAGACAAAAATGTGAGATGCTACAGTTGCATGTTTTGTGGTAGCAAATTATTGGGAGAAACTGATATTGTCTTTTGGCATGCACCTTCTGCCTTATGTGGTCTGGTTGTTTAGATCATTTTCAGATGATATATAGTGCTCATCAGCTCAGACCTTACCTTATAAATTTTTCATTTTTCATATTCTTGGTATTGTATTACATAACTCATAAAAATGTTCTTAATCACATTTAAAAGTTCCTTTTTAATTTCATCATCATTACTTACATTGTTTTCTTCAATTTTTTCTCACATTGCTTGCAAGAGTCCACTGATATTTGGAAGGGTACAACGTTGGTGTTTCCTGTATTATGGGCAGTAAGTTTTGCATACTAAATGTGCTTTGTAATAAATAGGTTGGTTCTTCAACTTGTGAGATATCCATATTTTTCTTTGTTTCCCTTCTGTTTTCTTCTTTGTTTGCAAGTGTTGCGGCAGCAAAGGTGGTTCAAAGCCTGCACACTGTTTTTTAATTTGCAAGTAAGGCATTGTTGCTTCACTTATTCCCTTGCAATGATTACTTATTATCGATGATGATGTCATTGACTATGCATGGACAGAGTTTTCTTGCTTATCATGCAGATGTTACGTTAGGAGAAAAAGATAATAGAACAACGGATCATCTAATGAGGCTTGTTCTTGTCTTACATTGTATTTTGCCCTCTTTACCGGTTTATGTCTTTAATCTCCTTTTCGGATGAATGAATGCTCTTACAGTTCATTCTGTCGGTTTTTTGGAAGATTCGTTTTAATCGGTTACAAGTGGATGTTAAAATACCAAACTTGGTAGGATTGCTAAAAAAAGGTTGGTATTTATTATCATAAGGTTATAGTTTTGAATAAACAATGCCAAAAATCTTCTCACCTTGTCTAATTTTTAACGCTAGCATCCAAATTCTCTTATAAATCAGTAGAAGTTGAATGCAAATATGGGGGTTGTAAATACTAGTAATTACAACTGCATCAATTTTTAATGGTATGCGATATAACGTTGTCGTGAAAATATGTTTGAAAGGAGATCGGAAATGTTTGTACTTGAATGAGGCATTTACTCTTGTTTGTTTTCTTCTTGGATGAGCCTGCAGAGGAAGTAAGCAAGTGTATGAAAATGTATGATTTTTTAAGCAGTGGGATTTTGAAGCTTTATGGTAATTGGTTCATCGAGGGTTTCATTCTTCTGTGCTATTGAAGAACCGTTACGTAATTCCCAGATTTGCCGAGTTCAACTTCTTTTCGATTTTAATTCCTTATACTCTGGAGGGGGGGGGGATTACTTAGATGTCTATACGACAAGATCTTTTATTTTGAGAAAGCGTTTGGATGAAGCAAGGGTTTAGTGAAAATGTGTCACTGGAGAGGTTGAAGACTTGTGATTTCGTGGTAGTAAGGATGAATTTGGTTCAAAGGTCGGTTACAACATTTAAATTGGAAGATATCAACATGAAATTTCACATAATTCTTTCTATTGAATTGTCTATAATTTGCATTTAACATATTATTAAATAATATATGAATATATTATATAATATTTAAAAAATTACATTTTATGTTTTGTATTTTATTTGCAAGGATTGAACTAATAAAATAATCTCACAGAAAGATTATACAAAACTCTCATGTCTAAGAAATGAGAATAATATCATCCCTACATTTCCAAATACTATTTATTATTGTTAATATTTCATTACAATCATCAGATAATGTTATGGAATTAAAGTCGTTAATCTCTTTTATTTTTTTTACTTCCTGGTTTTAGGGTTTAGTTTTGATTAATAATCAGGACCGACTCGTGTTGTATACCTTACTTTAGTGGGTGAGTCTTTTGGTAGGGATTTTTTGCATATACAAGAACTTGAATTTAAGACCTTCAGTAAGCGATATCAAATTGCTCGCCACTTAAACTAATCTTTGTTAGTAATTTTTTTATGCAAGGTAATCTCATTTTTAAATTTTAAATTATCAAAAATAATATGGGATTACCATAAATATTTGTATTAGCTCAGTATATTACAAAGGAGGTTATAATTTGTATTATAATCGCTCAGTATACTATGGAGGTTACAATTTGTATTATATGAACCTTAAGGCATCTAAATACTTGTATCGAAACCGATTAGGGTACCAGTGTTTTGTAAGGAATTTATATATGATTTCAAATGCAGTAGAATCTAATCCCAAACCCAAAACCATGATAACCCCAATTGTTCTTCTACCGCTCTAATCCAGTTTTTTTTACGACTTTTAACCGGGTAAAATAGCTCATTGGTCAAATCCGATTTTTTAACCAATGTTCTCACCAATGAAATAAGTGGAAATATCACCTCAATATTATAGGAACAGAACCAAGTGACCAAACCGACCTGACCAGCAATTTCCATTCATCTGATTGACAAACCATACAAGACAACTTGATTTTCAAAATAACTTTTCAAAGAAAAATATCCAAAAATAACAGATTTGATGTCAATCGCCGTGCCGTTTGGGCCGAAATAGCAAAGAGATGAAAGTTTAGAGCATTCAAATACCCATGATAAAAAATCTATGAAAATTCTTAGACAAAAAGAAAAACCCTGTTTTTAGGTTAAAAGAACCAACATCCACGAGTAAAGCAACTTCTGAACTTCATGCCTAACTGCAATTTCATCATGAAAGTGCCTTCCGAATATCATCCGTAACATATTTTTGAGGCTTCTCCGCATCAAGCTTAGTAACTAGCCCCTTCTTGGAATAATAATTGATCACCTATATTTCGAACAAAAACATTGATAATGATAATAGCAATCTAAAACGTACTTAATCCAACATCACTTTAGATACAGTTTATACCTAGATAGAACGTAAAGAACAAACATTCATGCCCCACGCTAAGTTAGGTTGCTACTTAACTCTTTTATCCCGTATTAGGAAAAACACATCACATCCATTTTAGTAACTAGCATTTCAAATAACTTAAAAAGAAATGAACGAGAAAAGATTACAATGTTTCCATTCTGCTAGAAATAGTTAGGAAACGGAAAACATACTGGTTCGGTTTGCTTGTGAAAGGCCTCGAGTCTTGACCTGAGCACAGCTGCAGTATCATCCTTTCGTTGAATCAAAGGTTCCTCAGTCACCTTGAAGAGAATAAAGAATCCGATAAGTTTGCTAAGTAAGACATGGAAATGTCTAGTGATAATTGATTAATTTACAACTTCAACTGGTGAAAAAGGGGGAAAGGTTTCATCAACTGAATTTGCATTTATGTGAGAAACATGATTACAATGAGGGTTATTATGTTTGACTTACATCATCTACACCATGAACTTTAGGAGGTGCAAATTTCGTATGGTAGGATCTACCACTAGAAGGGTGGATCCAACGACCAGTAATCCTTTCCTCCAAGATCGAATCATCAATTTCAAAGTCGAGCACCTTATCTATTTTAACTCCCTGCCTTTCAAGCATTTCATCAAGCTGCAAAGCAAAGATCAATAACAAATGATTGGAAGCATGGTTCGTGGGTAAAACAAATTATAAATAAACAATGCATCACCTTCTGTGCTTGGACTACGGTCCGGGGAAATCCGTCAAGAATGAAACCTTTTTGACATGAAGGTTTCTTCATCGCTTCATCAATAATGCCAACAACCAGGTCATCAGAAACAAGTTCTCCCTACAAAGCAATAGCATCAGCCATTTAAATAATCCAGACAGGCGGGGGTAAAAGATTTTCACCTTATCCATGGCTTCCTTGGCCTTGATACCAAGTGGGGTTTTAGTGGAAACGGCAGCTCTAAGCATATCACCAGTGGCCAAGTGGCATAAGCAGTACTCATCCTTAATCATTGATGATTGAGTGCCTTTCCCTGATCCAGGTGGACCTGCCAATAGTAGGATTTCCAATAATTAGAAACTGACCATCCTTATATAAAATTTGAGAGAATAAATTGATAGAAATGTAAAGAATGCTAACTTAATGCAGCTATGAATGGTGCAATTTACACGTGATAAAGACGGTCAACAATGCTTGAGACTTCCTTAAAAGGTAAATATAAGCATCTTTCTATTCACTTTCAAGCCACCCTAACTCCAGAGCCTATGCGAGCAAGATGTGTGATTCGGATTAAATGATTGTCTAGACATTGCTGCATGGAACTCAATTACTAAAGACAGACTTCTCTTAGTGGGCCATGGAAAAGGAACTGTGTCACCCCACCTCTTCATTTTCCCTACGCAAGCAATCCATATTCCAAACCCTACACAAGCAAGATGTGTAATTCGGATTAATCGATTGTTGGGCGTTGCTGCATGAAACTCTATGACTGAAGACAGACTTGTTTTTCTTTAGTAGGTCCTGGACAAGGGGCAATGTTATCCCCACTCTCATTTTCTCTAAAGCGCCCATATCTGTATCCAAATTCCAACACACACCATAGTCTAGACCCTATGCAAGACTGTAATTCCACACACTATACAAGCAAGATGTGTAGTTCAGATTAAGCAAGAGTCCGGTAGTTACTGCACTCAACTCTAAGACTCAATACAGAGTAATTTCTAAGTACGCCAAGGACGAGGACTGTATTACCCACAACCTCATTTCACGATCTGACGCACCAGAATCTGTATCCGACACACTCTCGAGTATAGGATAACATAGGTAAGGGGCATTAATATTTAGCCTTCCGAAATCTATATTACTGAAGCAAAGCAAAAGGTGAATGTACAAAGAATATGCAAATTCAAAGTTGGCATGAAAATTCATTTCATTTTGTCTACATGATGAGCATTGGTTCACATATTCTAAAACCAAAGTTTCATAGCACGGCACTTTTCCGAAATCATATTCATTTGTTTAAAATTACATGAACAGAATTCAACACACTCTTAAATCTGAAAGCTACACCTTCTATGTTATTTCTCAATGTGTGTGTGTGTGTGTGTGCATATATATTAAAAAAAATCCAAATTCCAAAACAATGTGAGTTTGAAGAAAACAAACAAAAGTAAAAATAAAAAAGTGGGGGAAGGGTATACCAATGAGGATGAGGCGGTTCTCGGGTTTGGAGGCGCACTTCATACGGCGGAGAAGCTCATTCATCAACGATTCGGACGGTATTTCTTCCAAGTTGACCGAGCTGCTCGACATTTTTTCTTTTTTTTTTTCTCAAAAACTTTTTAAGGGTTTTTGGGTCTTAACGGAAGATATATAAGTCTTGTTAAAAGATAGGTTTTATATTCTTCGAAAACACAAAAGATGGTTTATTTTATGGGTAAATTATATCATTCCTCACTAAATGTTATTCTACTTCCTATTTATTTATCGTACTTTTAATTTTTCTATTTTATTAATTTAACTTTACAGATTGAATCATTTTGCTCACTCTGTCGTTAACTCTTTAACGATGTTAAGATGTGTCATTTTTTATTATTATTATTTAATATAAAATTATTGAAAATATAAAAGGTAAATTACATCGTTTCTCACTGAACTTTATTCTCTCTTCTATTTTGCTCACCCAACTATAAAAAAAGATGGTCGGATACCATCGCCAGCCACCGTCTACCGCCATACATAGTGACTGTTCAGTCCCAAATTTCATGGGTCACTTCGCCTCGAAACCTTAAGTCCAAATCCGACTTCCATTTTGTCGAAACTTGCTCTGAAGTATATGAAATCAGAGATTAAAAGTGAGGAAATTGAAACGTTTTAGTCGAAATTCATGGATCATGGGATATTTTTCGGTGAAACAATCACCAGATTCGGACTCAGGGGATCGAGAAGAACCAACCCATGAATTTTGGGACCGAACGACCACCATCAACGACGGTCAACAGTGGCTGAAATGCAAAATGACGTGGTGGTCGTCAACGACAATGGGGAAAGAAGAGGATTCAAAACAATATAGTTTTGGTGTATATTTGAGTTTTTCAAAACGACGTCGTTTTGATGTTTGTGTCATGTTATAACACCATTAAAAAGTTAATGGCAGAGCGAGCAAAATAATTCAATCTGTAAAGTTTAATGAGAAAAATAAAAAAAATTGAAAGTACGTTGAGCAAAATAAGAGAGAGTAAAGTTCAATAAGGAACGGTGTAATTTACCCTTATTTTATTGTTGAGCACATCACCCTTTTAGCATCTAAACTATCAGTTTTAGTTTGTTTTAGCATCTAAATATTTATTTTTTTTCAAAACCATACATAAAGTTTTGTTTTGTTTTATTTTAGTACCCGTAGTTAAAAACTTTAGTTTTTGTTTCATTTTAATATCCGTTCAAAATTTAATATTAAGTTTTGAAAATTTTAGAAGTTTAACTACTAAAATGGACCAAAATTGATAGTCTAGGTACTAAACGAGTTAAGTTTTTAACGACAGAATACTAAAATGAAACAAAAACTAAACTTTAGGTATAATTTTAAAAAAAACAAAAATTTATATATGAAAAACAGACAAAAGTAATAGTTTTTGTACTAAATACGTAATCTACCTTTATTGTTTTATTTTGCTCTTTCTTTACTTTTGTATTGGTTTGGTTCGGACCTCGGAGCCACCAAAGATTCAAACTCAACTACTCAAGTACCGATCTCCAAAGTTACTGTTTTGTCCTTTCTCTTCCACTTTTTTTTTTTTTTTGATTAATCTTACTCTTCCACATCACTTTTGTCACCTCAATTATTACTTTTGTTCTAATTTGATACTTAAATTTTTTTAAATCATACTTAATGTTTAGTTTTAAGTTTTATTTTGGTAGTTTCATTAAAAATTTACTGGTGATTTGAGAAAAAGTAAAGTTTATGCATCGAAATATAATAAAAATAATAGTTTAATCACTAAATGTATAGTTTATGTGAGCAGTTTTGTTAACTGCCAATGTGAGAAGTTTTGAAAGTGCTCCTTAAAGTTGGTTCATGCCCAAGTCTTAGGCATGTTCCCACTCTTTCCATGGACGTGCATTAAGGGAGAGATGGGTAGTTTTGGGTGGTTTTTGATGGGGACTATACTTATAAATATCCATCTACACTAAATTAACATATTCTAAAGCATTTTACATCTAAGTGAGGTTTTGAGTGCTTAGAAGATCTCTGGCGGATCTAGTTTTGTGTAGTTAAGTTTACGGTGGTTCATGGTGGTCCGACGTAATTGACGGTGGTGCATTCAATTCTCGAATTTCGACATATGGTGTAGGCAATGGCTGGAGGTATTTATAATGATCATTTTTCAGCTACGTTTATGCTCAACGTGTGAAAGAATGTCTTACATTTGGTATCTGAGCATGGTTAAATTTATGTATTGCCTGATTTTCGAAAGTTTACATGTTTATCGAATTTTGATTCCATAATTTTTGAAGATTGAGAAAATTTGTGTTGCAAACTTATTATTTAAATCATTGGATTTGGTAATTAGTGATTTCTAAAATTAATTATGTTTGGAATAATTTTATAAATTTTTTAGAAATATTGTATGAATTTTATTTGCCTAAATTATGATTATAGCGACACTTCATCACGAGTAATGGAAACTGCCCTTGCTGCAATAACTCTTTAGAAGACGTAGAATATTTATTTCGCAAGTGTTCGGTGATTATGCCCATTTAGGCGACACTTATTAAAGATGAAAAGCTTGTTGAATAAGAACAATAAATAAAATAATTCTATAATATAATAATTCTTCTAGAGCATGCAATTAATTTTATATTATCAGATATTTAACATTAGATTTATAAAATTTCCATTCACTTTTATTGATATTATTCAAATTATATATCATGTATATTCCATTTGTAGATTGTAATGTCATAATCAATATCATTTCCACACAATACATTTGATTTTTTTTCACATAATGCGTTTAGTTTTTATATATGGAATTTAACTATTATTAAATATATAATTGAACTAGTGTCACAAATTAATTAGATACTATTTTAGTTAGAAAAATATTAAAAATTTATCTCTTTATTTTTATTTTATAAATACAATAATAAAAGTATTTTAATATTTTGATACTTTCACATGATTCTAAATAATATAATGAAAACACTATTTAATGCATCATATAATTAATAATAAGTATACGAACCAACTTACCTCAGTGGTTAAAAGAATTATTGTTATTCCTAGAGGTTACGGGTTCGAGTACCAATGATTACAACATGATGATTGAACATTCATTGTCAAATAATATAGAGTATTTAGAACATATACTACTTTGTAATTACCTTCAATTTAATAAAAAAATATGATTAATAAGAAGTTATAAAAAAAGTCCTTCACCACTTGTAATTGTACACTAAATATTCTTTCATAAATACATTTCTTTAGAAATAAAAATGTTTTTTTCACCCCCCAAGCATAATATGGGCCTCCATCTCTTTCCCCATTGTTAAGCCCATTTATATAGTTCCCTTTGGGGCCTCTAAGTCAAATTAAAAGAGGCCGTCCGTTTAACGAGAGCCAATAATACCTTGCCACGTGCAACCTTAAAGGCCGACAAAATGGTAGAAGCGAGAGACAGGCAGCTGATTTGGAGTTTTGGCTCCGTTTTGCTTTAAAAAAAAGGAGAAAAACAGGAGGAGAGAAAAAAGGCGCCCCTTTAACCGATCTGGGAAGAGAAACAGCAGAGAAAATAAGCTAAAGAGTGAAGCAAATAAGAACCGAATCGGACCTGACAGGAATTACTCAGCTCCCTTGGGCATCGTAAGGAAAAAAAGGTTTTTTTTTCTCTGTTATTCAATCATGGCTTTGTTTAGTTTTTGTTTGCTTCCAGTTTTGTTGGCAGCTCTCGCTGAGATAGAATCGCTGTAAAGTTACTGCCATGTTTGATTTCTAGTGACCCATGTTGAGAATTAGAATTAGGGTTTTTGATTCATGCCCTTTTTTAACCTTTTGCTTTTACAAAGATTGAGCTGATTTTGGATGTTGAATTTTATGATTTGAAGAAATAAAGCTTTTCTTTTTTTTGGTTCACATCTTATTTTGATGTTGCTGCTGCTGCTGCTGTTGTCAAAATCAGGGATTTGTTTGGCTACATGTTTGGTAGTCTGCTTTTCGGCATAGAAGAGTGGGTTTATCTTTTGAAGGATATTTTGGGTTTCAAGTTGGTGATTTTGGGATGAATAACAACAGTAACATTCCCAAGACTTTTGGGGCTCCATCCCAGTTTGGGAATTCCGGGACGGTGGCTAAACCGCAATCAATTCCCATAAACAATCAGCCTCATCCAGTGCAAGGTGGGCCTCAGTTTCCGGGTCACTTTCAATTTTCTGAGCCTCAAGCACAGGTGCTTGCACGGGCACAATACGCCCAGGCTCATGCTCAACCGCAGGTTCAGCCTCATGTTGCCGCTCATTCCCAATTCCCAGCTCAAGTGCACTCGCAAAACGCTAGTAATAGTAACGCTGCATCCATCCCTTCCCCTTTGGTTACCACCCCTGGCTCAGGAAGTGTCAAGCGGTCTTCTCAGAAGCCACCTTCAAAAAATTCTGGTTCATCTAATAGTAGTATGGCTTCTCTGTTTAAAACAACGGAGTTAACCCCGGCTGCTCCTAGAAAAAAGCAGAAGCTTCCGGAGAGACAAATACCTGATAAGGTGGCTGCAATATTACCGGAGTGTGCTCTATATACTCAGTTTCTTGAATTTGAGGCTAAGGTGGATGCTGCTTTATCGAGAAAGAAGGCTGACATTCAACAGTCTCTTAAAAACCCTTCCTGTATTCAGAAGACTCTTAGAATATATGTTTTCAACACGTGTTCCGATCAGGGAACGACCGACCCTGACCAGAAGAGCACTGAGGCTCCATCATGGTCACTTAAGATTATTGGTAGGATATTGGAAGATGGGAAAGACCCAGTTCTGGCCGGAAAGGTACAGAAATCATACCCGAAATTCTCGTCTTTCTTTAAGAAAATTACAATATACTTGGATGCAAGTCTCTATCCAGATAACCATGTGATTTTATGGGAGAGTGCTCGATCTCCTGCCCTTCACGAGGGGTTTGAGATGAAGAGGAAAGGAGACAAGGAATCTACTGTGAGAATAAGAATAGAAATGAATTATTGTCCCGAAAGATTTAAACTCTCTCCTGTTCTCACAGAACTTTTGGGAATTGAAGTGGATACACGTCCAAGAATCTTGGCTGCGATCTGGCATTATGTGAAATCTAAGAACCTGCAGAATTATGAAGATAGCTCCACCTTTTCATGCGACCCACCTCTGCAGAAGGTATTCGGGGAAGAAAAAATGAAATTCATTATGGTTTCACAAAAGATATCACAGTATTTAACTCCTCTATCCCCCATACATTTGGAGCATAGGATCAAGCTTTCAGGGAACTGTCCTATCGGATCCAGTTGTTATGATGTCCAGGTTGATGTGCCTTTACCATTAGAAATGGAAAAGTCTGCATTCTTGGCGGACATGGAAAAGAACAAAGAAATTGATGCTTGCGATGAAGTGATTTGTACCGCCATAAAGAAAATGCATGAGCATTGTCGAAGACGAGCTTTCTTCCTCGGTTTCAGCCAGTCTCCTGCAGAATTTATTACTTCTTTAATTTCTTCCCAAGGCAAGGATTTGGAGCTTTTTGCTGGAGAAGCTAACCATAATGCTGAGAAGGAGCGGCGATCTGAATTCTATAACCAACCATGGTAAAACCTTATTCCAGTAATTTTATTTTCATTCTATGTTTGTTTTGATGTCTTAGTTTGACATAAATCTGTCACAATTACCTGTTTAATGCAAAGCCAACTTGATCTTATTATTTGATAATTTGGTCCGGCAGAACAGAAGAAAATCTGGATGAATTAGTACTCTTATCGACTGACCTGTATATTTTACCAACAACAGTAATACTTTAGAAGAAATTCTTAGGGACTCTCTAGGATTGTGCAATCCGAGGCTATATGATTTACTATGTTGGTTTCCGGTGTTAGTTTCTTGCTATGATAAACTACCTCATTTTTTGGATTCTCTGAATAAAGTACAGTCTATCTATCTACGAATTTATACATGTTGATATGAGAAAGCCATGCCTTTTATAAAGTCTAGTTTATCATAATGATCCTGATTTGATTTTACTTAAAAATTGTTGGTTCACATGAGGGTGATAAAGTTAACTGTGGGATCTCTATTAAAATCAGCTGACTGTCTTCTCTTTTTTAATATATTTTGTGGAATTTCAAGGATTGAAGATGCTGTAATCCGGTACCTGAACCGCAAGTCTATTGGAGGAGACTCTATTGGAAGTACTTGAGCAGGTTTTTTTGGAATGATTGACTGTTTGTAAGAATCCCAAGGCTTCTAAAGTTATATAACTTCTGGCCTGCATAGTATTTCTAATTGGTTCTGGATGCCACTAAAAAGGAAACTATCCTGAGGACTTTGGGAGGAAATTTGGATCGAAAATTTCCTCCCAAAGTTATCCAAATTCACCACGGAATTCCAACTCGGTTCGCATACATATTTGCTTCTTTTGTTGTATTTTTCTAATGCAAAATGCTTAGGTGGTCAACCCCTTGCATTATTTCTGAATTCTCCCAATCATCTCCGCTCTGGTTTCCATGCCGTTTGATTCACCGAACCCTCTAGAATATATCTGTTTTGCTATTCTGCTTTAGAGTGATTCTTATCATGGAAGGACAGAGGAGGAAGCACACTAGTAATGTAAGTTGATTTGTTTTCTTTTAGGTGTAGTTTTAACTTTGAACAGAACCAGTATTGTATCCTTTTAGTTTCCTAATCAATATTTCATTTAACCTGGGAAAGGGACACTTTAATCTTCTCCCTCATGTTTTCTCTTTGCTGCACATTCTCTTGGCATTTTCATTTTATACTGCACTCTAGGGGTACGAGTAGATTTCTGCCAGAGATTCATCAAGGATGGACCGATGAGAGTCGGCGGACAATCTCCTGAAAATTTTTTCATTCCCTTAAAATTTTATAAGTTTGTCATTTAATATAAAATCTTCACATTAATCAATGATCTAATTTATATATTCAATAGTTGATCATAAAACAATTTGCATTCAGTCGTGATCAACTATTATAATTTAAATATCTAAATTATATGGAAAATTAAAATTAAAAGTTTAAAATATTATAATTAATTTTTTTAAAGCAACAAGTGCGAGAAATGAGTCTACTACGTCCTTAAAGCACTTGGATCTCATGCATGGGAAACTAAAAGAAATTAAAAGTTGCAATTTGCATAGTTGCGTTGGACCACGTGAGAAGTAATGATGGCATGGAGCCATCCCACTAAGCAAGCAAGCAAGAAAGAAAGAAAACCAGATGCTCGGATCTCTCATGGCGCACATTAGAGTGGTCGCCAATTAAAAACAGGATAAGAACACCACATTTGTTTTTCCTTGATTCTTGGAAGAAAAAAAACAAAGCCTTGAGCTTTTGACCAAACTACCTCTTTATCATTGAGTTATCCCTACATCTCTCGTCGTACACGTGTCCCGACAGTCTTCTCACATACCCAAACCAAACGGTATGATCGGAAGGTGTTCAATGATGTACCCTTTGGAATTGTCATTAAAACCATGATTTCTTATGTCACAACTGGTTAACGATCCAAGTAAGTTCATTGTTAGCTTTTTTGAACTTCGAGTTACGTTATAGAGTTTAAAAAAAAGGACCTTGCAAGAGAGAGAGAGAGAGTCTGTGAGTGAAGTTTATTTTCAAGCTTTTATCGAAGATATGGCTATGGCGGGCGTTAAACTAGGGAGACAAAGTAGCATACAAGACAGTCCAAGGAGCCCCGAAGCAAAGCTCGGGATGCAAGTTGAAGATCTTTGGGATGTTCAGGAACCACAGCTTAGTCCTAGTGACAAACTCAACGCTTGCTTTGAAAGCATCCCTGTTTCTGCTTTACCTATTGCCCTTCAAGGTAATTGCTTTTTCACTTGTTTTCTATGGATCCTTCTGATCATTTACTCTTTGTTTTAGATTATGTTTTGATTGATCAAGAATTTTGGGATTTCTTTTCTTTTCTTGGCTGGTGGATTTGAACTAAAAAGATGATGAATTTGGTTGATTAATCATTTACTGTTATTATTATATTCGTGCTTACGAGCTTTTACATCTGAAAATCTGAAATAATTTTTGTTGTGTTTATATTACACTGTTGACATAGAGAAAAACACGAGACAAGACATGCTTACATGGATTGTTAGGTCTAGTTCTTTCTTGGGGTGCCAACCAGTTGCATAAATTGTTTCTTTTTTAGTATAGTGACTGTCAGTGTGACTGATATATGTATGATGGTATTATCTTTGTAATGTTTGTGTTTCCAGGGATCGAGATCAAATCGGATGCGAGGCTGGCCGAGGCACCTTTTGAACTAGCTCACCTGTTGAACAAGCGGTTCGAATACTAGCGCAAAACAAGATCCTTAGCGCACCTGTTGTAGACGTCGATGCACCGGAAGATGCAACATGGATGGACAGATACATTGGCATTGTAGAGTTTGCAGGAATTGCTGTATGGATTTTGCAACAGGGCGAAAATAGAACCGCACATGTTGAACTCTTTTCTCCAAACCTTTCAATTGGGAAACTAACAATTTGTGTTTTTTGTTTCACAGTCAGAACCATCTTCACCTAGAAGCCCATCGTCTCCGAGTGGAGCTGAGTCTGCTATAGCTGTAACATCCCAAAAACCGGGTTAGTGGTCAAATTGTAAACTTCAGAATTTAGTGACTAAAGTAGATAAATTGAAAAGTTCAAGGACTTATATGGAAAATTTTGTGTAGGATTGAATTGCAAGGAAGGATGAATGGAAGGGCATAATGGTCATTTGATTAGTTATTGAATTAAAAATGAGATGTGAAAGAGATATATATACACGTGGAGTTATATAGCAAAGGAAAAAGAAGATATCTAGAGTTTTCTTCTTCAGTCGTGAAACCCAAGCTTGTTAAGGTGAGTTTCTTGTGAGTTGATTATTTGTTGAAATTAAGTTTGGTTTATGATCCTTATGTGATACTGAAGCTTAAGTAAAGTTTAAGTTATAGTAAAACTATAAGATGAAGGAATTATGAGGGATTAAAGATAAGGAGTCTCTAAGTGAAATCTTGGAAAAGAGTTGATAAGTAGAATTTGAAACTAAATTTGACTTGTTATCAGTTGAATTAAGAAGTGTGAAGTGTTAGAATAGAAATTATAACATGTTGAAAAATTGGTAGGATTCTTAAATTCAAGATATATGATGGAATTTTGAAGATAAGAATGTGTTAGATGAATAGAAATTTGTTTGAGTATGTGTACTTGAGTTAAGAATATAAAAGGGAATGAAACATGAAAGAATTGAACTGATTTGGGTAAATTTTCGGGCTTAAAAAGTGAAATATGGGCTATGTGTATAGGTACTGCTTCATCCAGTATCGATACTTCAAGAGTAAAAGAATGATTTTTGGTATAGGGGTATCGATACTGGGTGAATAGTATCGATACCATAAGCTTGAATTTGTCGAAGGCATTCATAGGACATCAATACTTGGAAGGTAGTATCGATACCAAGGGTACTGTAATCACCATTTTTTACCTCTCCATTCCAGCATCTCCACGTTGCATTTCCAGCAGCTGCAGCAGCCCCTCCACACAGCATTTCCAGTAGCTTCCAGCGACAGCTGCCCCTCCACGTTGCAGCTACAAACAGCCTCCAGCAAGCCGGGACAGCAGCCCCTCCACGTCCCAGTTCCAGTGGCTTCCATCACCTCCTTTGGCCAGTGACTCACTGAAGCTTTCCCCTTTGGACTGGTCCAAGACAAGCACTGGAGGTGGCTATAAAAGCCACCACACCTGCGAGACAGAGAAGGAGGAACAGACAGGGGGAGAGAAAAAAAAACAGAGAGCAAAGATACAAAAACGAAGAACAAACAACCCACAACCAGCAGTAAACCAAAACAGAAACAAAAAAAAAGGAAAGAAGCTTACCGAGGAAGCCACCGGACCTTTCAAACGTCACCAAAACCTTCGGAAACCGAAGGTATTTCTTTAGATTTGCTCCGATCAAGAGCTATTTAGGAGAAAAAAGCACCGGAATCGTCCTTAGGACGGTCCGATCTACATAATGATAAAAAAATAAAATTTTCCGGCCACCGGATGCGGTGGCCGGCGGTGAGGGTCACGGCGGCAGACGGCTGCCGTCTGGTGACCGGCTTCCCTCCGATGAGGGAAGCTAGAGAGAGGGGAGAGCGTTTATTTCTCTCTCTAACTGAGAGAGAAATAAAAAAAAGAAATGAAATATGGCCCGAAGGGCCAGCTGAATTCGGCTTTAAATAGCTCTTCCCGAACGACGTCGTTTCGGGGAGGGCTATTCGTGTAATTAAATAATAGTTAAATCCTTTCCGCAGTCAGCCTAATTTGTAAACTTTACATTTTAGTCACTAAATCGAGTTTATAATCCTTTTAATTCGGTTCTTTAATTTTAATTTTATTTATTTTAGTTCTTTATATTAAAATAATATATATAGGGTAAATAACAGATTTAATCCCTTAATTTTAATAATTAATATTTTAATCCCGAGTTTATATTTTTAATTTATTTTAATCTGATATTCGAATTTTAGATAAGTTTTATTTTAGTCACTAAATTAATAAAATAAGAAAATAGCATGTTTAATCCCTATAATTTTGATTAATTATGAATTAAGTTTTTAATTTTAATTTTACTATAATTTAGTCACTAATTTTAAATGTTTTCATTTATTTTACTGCTTTTAAATATATCGTTCTAATTGTATTTTTATTGTTTTAATTTTACTTGTTTATATATTTAAATATTTTTATTATTATTATGTAGTCATAAATATATATAATAAATAATAATTTATATTTTTTCAATAAATTATTTTAATATTTATTTTTCAATATCGAAGAAAAGGGCAGTCTTAATACAACTGGATGTCCTATTCTGGTATTTAAAATTAAATATTATAAAAATATTATTTAATTTTATGTAAATTAATATTTATTAATATCAATAAAAGAGCTGTCTTAAGGCACCTAGAAGTCCTTTTCCGATATTTTTAAATAATAAATATTTTTTATATAATTTTGAAATAATAGGATTATAAATTAAATATATTTTGAAGTTTTAAAATTTTAATAATAGAGACAATTTATAATTAAAAAAAGTACCAATTTTGGGCGTTGTAGGGGTGCTAATCCTTCCCTAAATGTAACCGACCACGAATCCCTTTTTATTATTAAAAAGAATGAATTTTTGGTTATAAACGCAGATCAGTTCATTTTTTATTTGATGTTTTCTTAAAACTCTTTTAAAAAATAATTTTTAGGTATTCGACCTACCTGACCCAAAAGGCCGATGGCGACTCCCAAATTATTTTCAAAACCATTTATTCACATCAATTTTCCCGCCAAATAAATATTTCGTGCCCGGACGAAAACCGGTTACGACAGCTTGGCGACTCCGCTGGGGAACAGTCATGCTTTGAAATTAATTATAAATTGTCTCTATTAATTAGAAAAAAAATTCATTTATTTAATTTTTAATTATTTTCTTTCAAAATTTTTATTATTTATTATTTTTATATTATTTTATTAATATTTTTTTTAGGTATTAATTATTTTATTTATCTGTTAGAGGTTTGAACATTTCTCCTCACACACAACACTTGCATTGCATAACATAAAGCTCTATAATTGAGTTTGTCCCTTTTAAGTGGGAGTGAAAGCGACGTCTTCGTGAGAATTTATTCTCCGTGTCAGACCTAGCAAGTAACTTTCGGGGTTCATATGCT